TTTTCAAAATATTTAGATTTCGCCATTAAATAACCCATAGTAGTTGATATGTCGCTAAACAAAATCAAGTACTTGGCGATGTTTTCTTATTTCTTAATACTTTGCTTAGCTTTTGGAAGGCATATTTCGCTATCCCCATGCGCCTTCAGATTTCTGTATTGCACTTTCCATCCTGTTAAAATACTTCCTTGATATTTATATCTTTTTACTTGCGGAATTTCAGCATCTTTAATTTATAATTTGCATGCTGGGCTCTCTTCAGCAGAATACTCTCTAAACCTGCTTAAATTTACTTTACTTGCAATTTAGGAAAATAACCCCAGCAAAATTTTTCGTATTGGTTATTGTGATTTAAGTAGAAAGAATGCATTGCATCAGTTTGAAATTAATACATCTACCGAAAAGAGGGGTAACAAAAGCAACTCCACGAGAGCGCCTCACTTAGCCTTCTTGGTCTCACGTTTTCCACTGACATGAAGTGGAACAGCTACATTAAATCACTTGCTGCATCTACCGCAAGGAAAATTGGTTCTCTGTGTCGCGTCAGAAGGTTTTTCTCGTCTGAGTCTATCCTTCACAGCTACAAATCTACCATTCGCCTATGCATGGAATACTGTTGCCATATATGGTCGGGTTCCCCCGCTGTTAATCTCGAGGTTCTCATCAAAATTCAAAGACGTGTTAGGCATCTCGACTCCAGTCACTTTCGCACAAACGTAATGCGACTTCCCTCTGTCTTTTCTATAAATATTTTCATGGCATCTGTTCTGACGGGCTATTTTAACTGGTGCCTCCCCTTTACTATCAAAACAGTTAAATGTAACTGACCCTTCTATTACTCCTTCTCTCGCACTTCCCGACAGTGGAACTCACTTCCTCTTACTTGCTTCCCTGATAACTATAATCTTCAAAAATTTAAATGTAATGTCAATCGACATCTTCTGTTGCCTTGATCCCCGTTCTTCTTTTTATCTTTTCCTCGCCCTCCCATACCCAGTCTTTTCCCTTACTTAGACTCCCTGTAAGCCCCTTGCGTACTAGTGGCACTCCTGCCTTGCTTGGGGTGAAATGCTTAAAAAAATTTAAATGACATTTCTCTAAGCCTATTATTCATATCTTTCACATCTTTTGAAAAATAAATGTGAATTAAACTTTCATTGATAGGTAGATATATAGATAATGAACAGGTAGGAATAGATAGATAGATAGATAGATAGATAGATAGATAGATAGATAGATAGATAGATAGATAGATAGATAGATCATTAGTTCATATTTTTGCTTACCAAAATGCAAACCAAGTCGAACCGATATTCCAAAATGAAGGTGATTTTTCTTGTATATGTAATTAAAGCTTTAAAACATTGGTTCTATCTATCTATTCCTCCTCTCTCTCTCTCTCTCTCTCTCTCTCTCTCTCCTCTCTCTCTCTCACACACACACACATACACACACACTCTCTCTCTCTCCTCTCTCTCTCACACACACACACATACACACACACGCTCTCTCTCTCTCCCTCTCTCACACACACACGCTCTTTCTCTCTCCCTCTCTCTCTCTCCCTCTCTCACACACACACACATACACACACGCTCTCTCTCTCTCTCCCTCTCACACACACACACGCTCTTTCTCTCTCCTCTCTCTCTCTCCTCTCTCACACACACACACACACATACACACACTCTCTCTCTCTCTCCCTCTCTCTCTCACACACACACACACACGCTCTCTCTCTCTCCCTCTCTCCCTCTCTCTCACACACACACACACATACACACACACGCTCTCTCTCTCTCCCTCTCTCTCTCACACACACACACACACACACACTCTCTCTCTCTCTCTCTCACACACACACACACACACACACACACACACACGCTCTCTCTCTCTCCTATCTCCATGCTTCTCTTTTTCTCTCTCTTTATCGTTTTCTTAATCTCTATATCACTTTACTTCCTTTTGTCTCCCTCAAAATTTCACTCGCTTTCTTTGAATTGTAAAAATAATCGATTTTACGCGCAAATATTGATTTCGATCTTTTTTGCTCACTGACCTTACTTTCAGAGTAATGGCAGAAAAAACAATCCCCCAAATTTCAAATGTCCTATCATAAAATGGCCACACACATACACCTATGCCTATACTCGTTTGGGTGATGGGTGCAAGTATGGATTTTTGTCTGAGTGTATAGATGTACATGTTCCCTTTTATTTATCTTGTTTTCTCTTTTTCTTTACACACACACATACACACACACACAATCTATCAATCAATCTATCTATCTATATATATATATATATATATATGTGTGTGTGTGTGTGTGTCTTTCTGCATGCGTTTATCAATTCCTTCTCTTTAAATTCTATTCCTCATCTTTATCTTTCTATCTATCTTTTTCTTTCTCTTTCTAACTTAATAATACTTTACTTTTCCTCTTCTTTATTTGTTCTCATAGTTGATTTATGGATGCTTATGGCCATCCATCCGTGTAATGGAGCAAGCGTTAGTAAACAATCATCTCCCTACTCACTTTTCATTCTGCCCGCTCCTTCTCTTCCTTCCTATCGTTATTTTCTTCTCGGGTCCCATATCAATCCCACCCAGTACAATTCTGAACGATTGCTTGGATGGTGATGACTGGCAAGAGACTCGACCTCCATTTCACTGGATTCCGAGGACAAGCCAATCACGGACCATTGTAGATTTGTGGGGATAAATGAAGTTCAGGAGTCGGCAAGAATTTACGACGAAACAAAACAGTCATCTCTGAGCTAAAACTACAGCTTGGGATCTTGTAGAGCCTCTGGAAGTGACAATGGTTCTTTAACAAAACATCTCGCCCGATTTTGAGTCAAAATATTGACATTAGAATGAAGAGAAATCTCTTATACTCAACGCAACTAAACAATATGTGATATATCATATCATAGCAAAAGACACACATATATCTGTGTCTATGATAATGGTATTGATGTTCTTAGCCGTGGCTGGTTCCAATCGTGGTAGGATTGACTTCAAATTTATAGACAAATCTATAGACAAATCATACAGATGCATGCTGGGATTTCTTCCTAGCCAATAAGATAGACCACTTCTCTGTCTCATCCAGCATATTTTTTGTTCTTTCTTGTCTTGAAGTTAGAATGCTACAATCGTCTGTATCACTTTTGCGTGTTAACACCATTCTTTCTTTGAGAACTTTTTACCATATTATTGTTGCTTTGCCTACTTTTGTCTTTAATATATATAGTTTGCTTAGTATTATTTTTTGCCTGTTCTTTTCTTTTTTTTTATATTGTGTATAGGAAATTTTATCAATTCCATTTAGCAGAATGACGACCTGACCTTCTTTTTCTATGTGCCATTTCTTTCAGGACATGGGAGATCATGGCTCTCCGTGAATTCCTAACCTTTCTAGCTCTTAACAGCTTTTCTCTCTTTTTGCCAAGTTTTCTGACCCTCGTTCCGTCATCCATTCACAGAAGGGTTGCTGCCTTTCCCTGTCACTTTTGCTCTCTACATGCACTGTGAAGGTTAAGTTTTAGAAGCCTACCTTCCTCACACTCTCTATCTCACTGATTTTGAGTATAAGCCTTCCTTTTATGGTCATTTTCTTCAATACGTCTTCGTTGTTTTCTCGCACCGTCCATGGAATTCTCAATATCCTTCTGTAGGACCATATTTCTTTTGTCTCCAGTTTTCTCTTCATCTGTTACGAAATTGTTACGCAGTCGAGAAAACACAGCTTTCAATACTGATTAGCTTCTTTACTATCCTTTCTTTACAAGTCGTCTACAGACAACATCTCTGGGATATAAATTAATGCATGGTCATAATTTTCTAATTCTCTTATCAGAAGTGTTCGGTTACTTTCCTTTTGTCCATTTTAAGATGATCAAGAATTTCTTACCGTGCTTACAATCTATGACTTTCAACTTTTCATTAAAAAAAAAAAAAAAAAAAAAAAACGACATTTCATCTTTTTAAAACCTTTGTCTTTATTAGATATTCTTTCTTTGGTTGCATCTTCAACATCAGAAATTCCCAGTGATTCTCCAATGTGAAGCATTCTTTTTTTTCTGTCTGTGATGAGGAGTTATCATAATTTACCTAATTCGCATGCGGACTATTTTTCATTTTCACTTAGTAACAAAATTAATAACATTGAAAATTTATCCGCGTGTAAATAAGTTCAATAATGATAACTCCTCGTTCCAGAAATTAAAAGAGAAATTATTGAATAAGTACGGTCACCGATGTGATACACCAATGGAGGCAGTCGGAAAAAATCCATCAAACATTCGAACGGACATTCCTATACAATTGTAGAGACCGAAAACTAGTTCCACTAGGCTTATCAATCAAGACATTGGTCAGATCCAGGAGAGCACAAATTTTAGTAGGAAGAGCAGGACACACGCTCGTGAAGAAACGTAAACCGGTGGAGGAAACTTCAGCAGGAACATGAAATATCCGAACGAACCAGGGCTGTTATTTAGCAAAAATAATGCCGAGAATAATGTAAATAGGATAAATAACAAGCATTCATTTTTATGAATCATCTCAATCCTTCCGATATCTTATTTCTGTTGATAAGCAAGACTGTTTTACACCATTCCTAGTGTTTCAATGATTATGAGGACTACATTTATTTTATTATAATTATTATTATTCAATTGTTTTCTTCGTTTTGGGTGGTTGCCTCAATCAATTGATTTTTCTTAACTTTGATCAAAGTTTTATTTTTCTCACGTTAAATTGGATAATGATCACATTTTTCGGAGGAAAAAAAAACTGAAAAAAAGGAAGTGAAAAATACTAGTATTCACTCTGAAACAAGACTAGATCGAGAGATAGGGATTACAGCCATATTACCTTAAGACACCAGGTCTCATAAAATTACCGAAGTTAAGCAACGTCGAGCCTGGCCAGTACCTAGACGTGTGACCGCTTGGGAACAGCAGATGCTGTAAGCTTGGATGTGCGGGTGGTGTAATAGGTAACGATTTGCAATTAGAAATCGGAGAGCCGAGTTCTTATTTCAATCGGGCTCGTTATATTCACTTTGGAAAGGTAAGAAACCACCACTTCTCTCCCCACCTATGGGTTAATTAATAGACTTGTATCAGTAAATCATTATTATCTCCCAAACATTCTCACACTTTAAAAATATTTTCTGGCCTTAAATAACCTGTAAAAGATTGGTAAGTCGTAAAAAATTTCAACTAATCGAGCGATAGATTCTGGAAGACTATGTTACGTCAAAAGTACGAATGAAAAAACCCTACCTATCGACATTCGAAAATCTTGCTTTTATATAATTTCGAACACCAATTTTTTCGCACCAGTGAGAACTATGTAAAAATTATAGATCTAGGTGCAAGGTCGTTTTTGTAGGTTACTTGCACATAATAATAATAATAATAATAATAATAACTAGCCACTCGTAGTCGAGGATACCCGTCTACTAGGGCGGCTAGCCAATCCCTATTGTAGACGCTCGTTCACAGAGCCCACCTGAGCAGACCTTAATTAGATTTTATTGGAGAGAGCGTGTTATCTAGCGTGATCAACAATTTGAACAAGGCCAGAACGCTCAAGCTCGGCTACGATGACTTGCGGCACAGATATCGACGGCTTTAGAGTTCCGTCTACCCAATTTCATTCACAAGGCTTGGGTATGGTTTTCAGGCACTTTCCAAAGGTGTCAGTCCGATAACATCAGGAGCATCGACAATGGTGAGATTCGAACCCCTGTCTCATGGTCAGAAAGCGAACGTTCTAACCACTCGGCCCATATTTACACATGCCCACACAATAAATAACGCTAGCTCCCTCAATGCTGTTAATTTCAAAATAGTCTTTACTAAATCCAATCCTTACGGACTCAGCATAAAATCATGCCATCTGACAAAAATGAATAATAAACCAACCAGAACGATCTATTTTAATTTTCAAATGTCCTAATCTCGGAACCGACAAAAACAAAATTTCCTACCCAAAAATCAGACGCACTCATTTCGGTAGGATACACTTGCTACCAGCGACTTATAAGTCATCACCGCCAATCGCCTACTCACTTTCGCCAATATGCTGACACCAAGGATACCATCTAATGGTTTAACTAGTTTATTTTCTCTGTGCATGCAAATCAAATCTCTTATTCACGTATATAGAACTTTTATTTGGATGCCAAGGAAACTACAAAAACTCCTACAAATGGTAGTGAAGGAAAGCAAGAAGAAAGGACTAAACATCAATAGCAAGAAAACATAATGTGTGGTTGTCAGCAAAAGGAACATCCTAACAAATTGGAGATACCAAAATCAAGCAAGTATTACAATTCAGTAGATATCTTGACAGTGTTTAAACAGAAAACGGAAAGTGCATCATTAACATCCGAAGGCGCATTGGGATAGCGAAAGATACTTTCCAAAAGTATTAAGAAACGGGGAAATTTCGTTAGAAACGAAGAAAAAGGTACTGAGCTGTTATGTAATATCAGTCCTCCTTCATTCAAACAACAAAAATGTGGTTCCACAGAAGGATGCTGAGAATATCATGAACTGAAAATGTGAGCAAAAACGAAGTTTTAGAGAAAGGGAAAACAAAAAGAACACTTAAACTTAACATCAGGAAGAGACAGTTCTAGGACACATAATGAGGAAAGAAGACTTGGGAAATTTGACACTCACTTGGCATATTGAAGGCAAAATGGGCGGAGATAAACGGCGCATAACCTACCTATCGAGATCGAGTAAATGGATGGCGGAACAAAAAACGACATTTATTAAGTTCTACAAAGGGCAGGAAATTGTGATGAGCCTTGATTGCCAACGTTCTGAAGAGGCATAGCACATAGAAAAAGAAGAACAAGAACAACAACAACAACAGGACTTTAAAATGAGATTTATTTTTAATTCAAACAGATTTTTTGATTGAAAAGGATTTACATTTCAACGCATTTTTACTGCACTTGTCTCTAAATTATTTATTTGAACAATCTTTAAAATTTTTATTCCTATATACGGGTAATCCATTTGCGTTGAATACATTTTATTTTTATTTCTTTATTTTAGATATTCTCACTCATATGATGATTTTTTAAAATGTATTTTGTTAGGGGACTCACGGTTACTCAAAACGGGCCTCTATATGAATATTAATCTTGTGTTCACTCCAAACTGAATATTTTACATATGGTTTAACTTCTAAACACTGTTCGTGTTATTAAAAGCCACAGTAAACCGATGTTATTAAAATATACTATCCAATGCCGGAGTTCGGCTTAAATTCATCAAAGACATTTCTTTTGCCTTTAGTTCGTGACATACCGCATTAATGTCGCAATTAGATAAACAAAGGACATGGAGGTTGATGCAGAGCAGCTCCCGTTTATAAGCATATAGTTCTACTAAGCAGAATTAATTATGTGAGTGCGTAGTACAGACATGAATGTGTTGAAGTATATAAATTTGTAAGTGTGCATATGTGCATGAATATTAATACACATATATGTATTTTGGCGTTCCTACATAAAAATCTGACAACAAGCAAACGAATGTGTGTGCGTGTGTGAGCACAAGAAAATGTATACGAGTGTGAGTGTGTGCGTGTGTGTGTGTGGAATCACGCGCATGCGCATATGCATGTTTGTTCAACACTGTTCTTTTCCTCATGACAATCAAGACCATAAATTTTAAAATGTTTTCTTTTCTCCGGCAGTTCATAAGAAAGACATGAACCGCGATATTTTATTAGGATCAGTTGCTGTCTTTTTTTTTTTTTTTTTAAATCACTCCTTCAGTTAACAAACCTCTCATATAATAGCCCATCCTTTTTTTCTATTTTCTATCTCGAATTTTCATGTTTCCCCTTCCATTTTTTTCATGTTTCCTTCCTTCCATTTCTCTCTCCTCCTCCCTCCTCCTCCTTCCTTCCTTCCTTCCTTCCTTCCTCCCTTCCTTCCTTCCTTCCTTCCTTCCTTCCTCCCTCCCCTCCTTCCTTCCTTCCTTCCTTCCTCCCTCCCTCCCTCCCTCCCTTCCTCCCTTCCTTCCTTCCTTCCTTCCTTCTTCCTTCCTTCCCCTTCCTCCCTCCTTCCTTCTTTTCCTTCCTTCCTTCCTTCCTTTCCTTCCTTCCTCCCTCCCTCCCTTCCTTCCTCCCTCCCTTTCCTTCCTTCCTTCCTTCCTTCAGTTTGTTTATCACGTTATGTATCGATCATTTTTTTCATATCTCTCTATCTCAATCTGTTTTATCAATCCCAGCAATGTACAGTGTAACCCGGATATAAGAGAATTGTCGGGACCGGAGAAGAAGTCTCTTATATCCGGGTTTGGTCTATTATATATACATTAACACAGGCTCTAATTTGGAACCAGAGAAAATCTCTCTTATATCCGGGTTTCTCTTATATCCGGGTCTCTTATATCCGGGTTACACTGTATATGGTATAGGTTTGAATCAGTTTATATGAATACGTCTCTCTCTCTCTCTCTCTCGCTGTCGCTCTCTCTCTCTCTCTATATATATATATATATATATATATATATATATATGTATATATGTGTGTGGGGGGGTGCGCGCGCACGCGTGTTTGTGTGTATGTAGATACAGGGTGCGATGAGTAAATTGTTACCATTTTATATTTTTAATTTCGCGCGTGCGCGTCGTTTGTTTTTGATTTTGTCGAGTGAACAGTATATTTGGGTCAGTTAGACACCGTCCTCGAGAAAAAGAGCACCATGACGCAATTCACGCCACCAGAAATTTGGAAACGGCACGCTGTACTGGTTGGCATCGCACCGGAAGCACCAATACGAACATTTCAGAGTGTTTGAGTGTCAATCTGAAGACAGTGAAGAAGATTCGAAAAGAGTTGGATGATATAACCAGTCAACATTGTTAAGCGTGATCACTAGTGAGGCAACATTATACTTCCATTAATCTTCCCACAGGGACTCAAATTCAACACGGAGGCTGACATCAAGTGCCTTGACGACGTAGTACTGCCCTGGGTCAAAAGGGCGGCTGCTAGAATATCCTATGTCTGGGAACAGAACTTTGCACCATAGTACACAAGTAGGAGAACCCAGTGATGGCTGTCAGAGATTTTCTTCGACCATATCACCCCTTATATCTAGCCACCTATCATCCCAGACTGAAACCCCCATGATTATTATGTGTGGGGCGCAGTTGAGCGAGAGACCAACACAACTCCTTGTAACACTAATTATGAACTGAAGGCAAGTATTATATGGCAGCATTAACTAACTTAAACAAGGAGACCGTCTAGAAGAGGTACCGGAGATTCCGAAGTTGTTTGGAGTCCGTGGATGAAGCCAATGACGATTTTATTGAATAAATTTACTCTTTAGTATTTTAAGATATTTTTCTGTAATTTTTGTAAATATATCTGTTAAAAGGAGATGTCAGTGTTATTTGAATTTTTACGTAATTTAGACGACAATTTATCAATTGTAACATAAATATATATGTGTGTGTGTGTGTAATATTTATTCAAATTTATAAGATATACAGCTTATAAGATCACTACGAATGTTGCAATTTTGTTTCGATACTTCTGGTGTCTTATCAAGTGACACACACACACACACACACATATATATATATATATATATATATATATATAACCTGTTTTAAAATAGGGATCATAATTAAATATTTAACTATTAAAACCAAATACAATAAATATATTTCGATTAAAATCGAATAAAATAGATATAACTTAAGGCACCTTTCGACCGACACTTCATCAGAAGGGGATCGTCGGAATTAAAATACTGAAGTGATGGTTTCTTTAAATAATATCTTAACAGAAGACAAGTGGAGGGAATAATTTTTTATTGTCATCTATATTGAGTCAATGATTGTCCGAACAGTTCCCTACAGATCGTCAATGATTCACTCGGCTTATACTCCTGTCCCTTCTCTTGAACAGAAGTAGAAAAGTCTCTGGACATCCTAGCTCTCTGCGAAACTATCCTTCACTCTTTGATCCTTTCCTCTGATTTCTCGATTCCTGGCTACTTCCCTCTCCATTGAAAGGACTATAAAGTCCACATGTATAGCCTGGGAGTTTATGTCCGCGAACATCTGCCACTGGATAGGGAACTCTCTCTTGAATCTCCAGACCATTTGTACATGTGTCTCCTTCTCTCTACTTAACTCAGCTATCTCTTCTTTCTCTATCGTTCCTCATCCTCTCATGACTGTTGCGTGCTAGATAGTATTTCCGATAATATAGACAAGGCCATCTGCCTACACCCGCTTGAAAACATATTCGTGTTCGGTGACTTTACTCCCCACCATACCAGGTGGCTTATACACTCGCTGGAATCTAAATCCATAACTTTTCAATCTCTCTCGCAAGTGGTTGACTTCCCTACGCGTTTCCCCAGTAACCCTGACAGAAACGATTCTCTTCTCGATTTCTTTTTCTTTTTTTTTACCTCTATCCCTGACTCTTGTACTACATAGCTATGCCCTCTTGGTAACTCTGATCATGCAGTAGCATCGGTAAATATCTCCTTCCGCTCCCCCATCAGCCAAGAACCTCCTACCAACAGAATATCCTTCTGTTATCAACGAGCAGATTGGGACTCGTTCGGTAATTTCCTTCGAGACGTCCCATGGAAATAATTTTTTAATCATACTGTTTGAAAATACGCGCCTGAGGTCTCCTGGGTGAAAGCCTGCATCGACGCTTTCATTTCAGCAAGGAAATACCAAGTTAAACCGCGTTCACCTCCTTGGTTCTCATCTGCATGCTCGGCCGCCATAGCCCATGGGAATCACTTCTTCGTCTGTAACAGAGCGACACGTCTGAATGCAAAAGACTTCTCTTTGTCTCAGCTCGTAACGAGTGCAAACGTGTCCACAATGAAGCGAGGTTACTGTTTGCTGATAGAATGAAACAACTTATAGAATCTCGCAAGATCGGTTCTAGAGATTATTGGCGGCTCTGCAAGAGTGTGTTGAACAGCAAATCCTCAATTCCTCCTCTATTCACTCCGAAGTCCTGAATTCTACAGTCGTTCGACTGGAATGCTTTGCCTATAAATTCTCTTCCAACTCAACACTCGACTCATCTGGAGTGCTCATACCTGATTCCCACCCATAGAACTCAGGCAATACTGAGTGATATGGTCATTGGTCTCGGACATCATTTCTAAATTAGAATCCCATAAGGCAAGTGGAGGTGGCGGGATACCAGCTGTCGTCCTAAAGCAATGTACTCCCGAACTAGCCCTAGTTTCAGAGATGAGCTATTATGTACATTATTTACATTATTCAATACATTATGGGAACCAGTAATAAGGAGTGTCAGAGAACAGCAATGATAACAACAAAGTTGCAATATGAGCTCTGGTAAAAAACATGCAATGATTACAGCAAAATTGCAATATGAGCACTGGTAAAAATGGTTGCTGAAGGCATTAGGTTTATAATACCCAGAAATTCATACCCAGATGTCCTCAAGGACAGTGGATAAATGCGTTGGTTAGATCCAAAGAGTATGAGTTCAATACCCGGTTAAGGCAGTGGAGAACTTTCAGAGGGAAAATTAACAGGAAATAACTGATAACTGACACCCATCAAACATGGCACGTGGAACTAGAACAGTCTACCCCAGTGAGCGAAATAAAGGGTTCAGTTCGACATTCCAAACCACCTGAAGACGGCCGAAACGTTGTGATAAATATGTCGACAAAGATGAGGACAATAGTCCGAATAATGTAAATAATGTAGCCCTAGTTCTCTCCATACTCTACAACTATTGCCTCCCTGCTTTCTAGCTTTTTGGAAGTCCTCCTATGTAGTCCCTGGTTTTAAGATCTCTGGAGAACATTTTGGCGCCCTATAACTATCACCCTATTGCTTTTCTACCGTTTTCGGCAAAGTATTCGAGGCTTTAATCAATGCTGAAGTGGTTAAGCATCTCTCTGACAAAATTATGGATTCCGTTTTGCTTGGTCTACCGCTGATGAATATATATATCAAGCTCTTGATCATAACGGCGAAGCTCGATCTGTGGCTTTAGATATTTCAAAGGCACTTGACAGGGTTTGGCATGCTGGTTTTCTATGTAAATTTCCTGGTTACGGTATTACATGGCGATTGTTTGAATTAATCCAGTCATTTCTATCAAATATGGAAATGAAAGTCGTCCTTCCCCTTTTCCCCACGACTCTATACTGGGTCCTACACTGTTTTTGATCTTCACTAATGATCTTCCTGATGTCATCAGTTTCCGAGTAGGCAATTATGAAGATGACACTACCATTTTATCCTGTCTCATTAGCAAATCCGTCAGAGCTGACAAAGTTAACCTGGCTACTGCTCTTGAAAAAGGCCTCCAATCAATGGTTAACTAGGACAGGAATTGGCTTGTAAACTTTAATGCCTCCAAAAGTAAACTGCTCTCATTTAACCACCATAAAGAAACTTTCCTGTCCGTCACCAGCATGTCTGATGCTCGACTCCAGGAGAACGTCTCACTGTGCCTTCTTGGCCTCAAGTTTTCAAGTGAAGTAGAACGAATGTATCGAATCAATATCTGCACCTACTGCAAGGTATATTTGGTTCATTGTGTCGTCTAAGAAGGGTTTTTTTCTCGTCAGATTCCATCTTGCACATTTACTAATCTACCATTCGTCCATGCATTGAATATTGCTGCCATATCTGGTCTGGTGCCCCTGCTGTTCATCTCGAGGTTCTTGACAAAATCCAAAGAAGGATCTGCAATGTAATCGATCCTGATTTGGCATCTTCAATTTAATGACTTTCTCACTGACGTGATGTGTCTTCCCTGTATCTTTTCTACAAATATTATCATGGTAACTGTTCTGACGAGATTTTTCCATGGTGCACCGACTACATGAATTTAAGCGTGCTACTAGATTGGCATTTAGGTCCCACTCTTTTACTGCTGAAATAGTTAAATGTAACCGCCACTTCTACACCAACAGTTTCTTTTCCCACTCTTCCTGATAGTAGAACTCCCTTCAAAAATCTAAATGCAACGTCAATCGCCATTTTCTGTTGATGTGAACCCTGTTCATCTTTTATCTTTTCCTTAATCCCCCCCCTATACCCAGTCTTTTCTCTCACTTTCACTCTTTGTAACTCCCTGAGTACTAGTACCATTCCCGTCTTGCTTGAGGTGAAATGATAAAAAAAAGAACAAAAGAAATACAATTTTAATTCTTGGAATATTTGTTCAAAAAATAATTTCTAATCAATAAAAGTCGTTGGTCTCTTTTTCTTGGGAGTGGTGTGTTCAATTCTTGCGTCAAGCAGTAGAAGAGTTCGTCAGATTACTAGAGAAAATAGAGCATCAAAACATGAAAGAAGGTGACATTTACGAAGTTTGAAACCCTTGGAAGAACATTGCTTGTGTCAAATATACAGACACAACATTATATCATGAGAGCCAAAAATAAAGAATTTCGCTTAACATTCCTTCCGCATTATCGGATACAGCAAACAAATGAGGAAGGCCCATATGTACTCTGATCAAAAAGTGGAGATAAAAAATAACAATTCATATATGAAAAAAGAACCATTGTAAAACTATTTTCTCAAAGTATGCAAGAATAATGAATCTAACCATTTCATTCAGTTACGTGCCATGCGTAATACACGCTTAGGCAATTATATATCTTTCGATCTTTGACTGACGAGGCAATTTTTTTTCCCCACGGTAGGTTGACATTTCTTTCTGCGGTAGACCAGTTGCCATCCAAGGCTACAGGACCCTGTCTGTTCATGCTATTTACCCATAGCTGGGGGGAGAAGAAGAGGATTCATACCTTTCCTAAGGGTAAGCACGTAAGTGAATGTAATGGATTCGACTGGAATTCGAACTCGTCTCTCCGAGTCCGCAATCTGAGCCGCTATTCATTACTCCACCGTGCGTCCTATCCATGTATAAAATCACGATATATATTAACTTTTAATTTTTAGCAAATTCTATATCCTTATACGAAGTCTAATCAAAAAAATATTGGGGTTGGGGCTTAAAAAAAGGAAACCATGAAAAATAAGCAGATAATATCCTTCGAAATAGTCCCCCTCTGAAGCCAAACACTTTATCCGAAATCGTTTTTATTGATGGAAGCATTTCTGGGTCTCCTTTTTGGGATAGCGAGCAGCTGCCTTATCGAATTCTCTTGGATTTCCTCGACGTTGTGAAAGCTTGTTTCTTTCAAGTGGGATTTCAATTTTCAATAGAAAAATGCCACAAGGGGCGAGATCTGGTGAATGTGCCCTAGAAATTTCAAATGTCTCTTCCTGATGTTAAGCATAAGTGTCCTTTTTGTTTCTATTGTCGCTAGATTTTCGTCATTGGTCACATGTTCGGTCTATGGTATTCTCAACATCCTTCTATTCTATTGTCAACATCCTTTCTGTTGCTTCAATCTATTCTTTATCTATGAGATTTTCCAACATTCACTACTATATAGGGGGACTGATATTACATAAAAGTTCAGTAATCTTTGCTTTATTTCTGACGAATTTTCCCTTTCTTAATACTTTGCTTAACTTTTTGAAGTCATCTTGCGCCTTAAGATTTCAGTGTCGAGCATTCCATCTTCTGCTATAACACTTCCTAGATATTTAAATTGTTATACTTGTTTGATTTTGGTATCTCTAACATGAATGTTGGGCTGTTCCTTTTGCTGACAACCACGAATTCCATCTTCTTGCAATTGATGTTTATTCCTTTCTTCTCGCTTTCCTTTACTACATTCTGTAGGAGCTTTTGTACTTACTTTTCCGTATCTGATAACAACACTGCGTTATTTGCATATCTTATATTGTTAAGAGAGTAGCCGCCAATAATTAATTCTACTAGGGCTTCTAATTCTCTCATAATCGCTTCACTGTATAGGGTGAATAAGTCCGGTAAGAAGACATATCTTTTCTATCTTTGTACATTTACTTAACTCCATTTCTATCCGTATACAGGCACGGTGGAGTAACGGATAGTGGCTTGAGGAATCGGAGAGCCGAGTTCGAATTCCAGTCAAATCCATTACATTCACTTACGTGCTAATACCCTTGGAAAAGGCATGAATTCTCTTCTTCTCCCCGCCCCCAGCTATGAGTAAATAGCAAGACAGACCGGGTTCTATAGATGGCAACTGGTCTACCGCAGAAAGAAATGGCAACCTACTGCCTCGTCAGTTATGTATCGAAAGATATATGATCGCCTGAGCATGTATTACGCATGCTACATAACTGATGCAAGCAGTTTGCTGTCAGTATATTTTGTCGATTATTCTAATATCCTTCCCAAATATGTCAAGGTTACCAAGCAGTTCCAATAGTCTTTTATAAAGTGTTTTATTAAACGCTTGTGCATAATCTATAAAATACATCCTTCTGTATTTGTATTGCTCTTTCTGATATAATTCTGGGCATATAGATATTTAATTTTATATTTAACACATGACACAGTTATATTGTATCATTGTGGTTTTGTTAATTTGGAATTAATATAAATATTAGTTACAAAAGCGATAGTTCTTGTAAGTGTCGAACTCGTTATTACTGGCCTGTGGGAATAACCTTTAGCAGGCTCTTTAATGATCTGAGTCTGTAAACTGCTCTCTCGAGTGGTTTACCGGGCACAGGGATCCGTCCCTGCGCTGTTAGTATCACGGCTATGACTAGCTTGAACCGGCTTTGACCAGCTTGGACTAGCTATGACTAACTTAGACCATCTTGGACCAGCTCTGGACCAGCGGCCCGAGTGAAGACACTCGGGTCCCCACGTTAAAAACTGACCTTGTGTCACAATCTGACTCGGTGTTGGGGTGGGGATCGAGTAAATCTTGGCTTTCTAATGATCTGGATTACGTATACATGCACGCACACGCGCGTGCGTTCGTGTTTTTTTAATTTATATACAAGTACTTGAATCTTAAAAACTGATGGAAAATCAGTTAGCTGTACAAGCCTTATGTGGCTGTTCTTCTTTCTCTGTGAAACTGATTTTATTTTTCTTCCTTTTCACTACTTATTTATTTATTTTAACATTCTGTTTTCGTTCTCTTTTATCATCTTTTGAACGTGGAAACTCGTAAAGATTCTCAATTTTCCCTTAACTCGATAGATATTTTTATGATGTCATTTTAGAATAAATTTTCCAGTTCTTCGCCCCATCCTCTTCCAATACCTTTTTACGGTTTTTCTCCTCCATAACCTGCCTTTATGCTAAAAACCTACCCAACTCCATCTCTCTCTCTCTCTCTCTCTCTGTCTTTCTTTTTTCTTTCGCTCTCTCTCTCTCTCTCTCTCTCTCTCTCTCTCTCTCTCTCACTTTCTCTTCACACACTTTCGTTTTTTGTTTTGTTTTGTTTTTGTTTTTTTGCTTTCTCGAAAGTAAAGGCTTGTTTTTGCATTCACTTGATGGACTCGGAGACACTATATTTCAGATTTAAAAAAAAATACAGGAATCACATCGCCTCAGCAAGAACAATTCTCAGTGACAAAGGCACTTGCTGTTATAGCTCAGTGATAAGGGTGTAAAATTGCAAGTAAAGAAAATCGTTAATCTACCAATGCAGTTTAAGTTGAAAGGCATTCTTTCGAGAAACCCCTGATATTTAAAATGTATCTGTCAGTCGCATATTCATTTGTAAAGTTTACACTGTGAAGATCAGTAAGGGCGCTCTAGTCTCTTTGACCATTATTACTTAGCCGTGAGTTTGATCCACACTGGGTGCCCTATAGTTGTAGCCATAAGACGAAGTAAGTAGTAAATAAAAACCAAACAATGGCACATGCGTTAGATTATCTTGATTTATTTTATCATTGAAAGAACGTCTACTTGTCACTGTTTTGTTCATCCAGTGTTTGTTTTAGAAATGGGCGGCCATAGTTTTCAGCAGTTCCTTGTTTAATAAAACTTACATATTTCAAGAAAAGACAGTAAAGGTTTTAGTTAAAAGGCATGGAATCAACAAGGACTTTTCCGAGTATGTGTTTTTAATATAAGCTCGTTAACCTCTAAGTAAGTGCTAATTTTCAATTGTCTGCGTATAAAGACTTTTTCATCCGTATTCTCGTATTTTGGAGTGCTTATAAAAAAAGCGAACGGAAGTCCAAGGTCAAATGTCAAAGATAGAGAGTAAATCGAGATAGATAGATAGATAGATAGATAGATAGATAGATAGATAGATAGATAGATAGATGTAAGCCAGTATTTCTTGCTGGAAGCGCGATTTAGAAACAACAAAATTATATTGGTACACTTGGTACTTAAATTCAATAAATTAAGGATAGTTATTCGTTCTCCTCTCCATACTATGAACGCCTTTTGCAGCTGTCAACACTAATTAAGTTATCTGTCATCACCCAACTATGGAAATATCGCGTGTTAAAATAGGCGAATGTAAATAAAAATTCTGAAAAGGTTTACGCATTTCTTTTTATCGTGGTGCATACTTTGGGAACCGCCGATTTGAGTAGATAGATAGATAGATAGATAGATAGATAGATAGATAGATAGATGCACACAGAGAAAAAAGCTAATGTACAAAAATGTAGTCAGTTAATTAAGTGACATTCGCGACCATGTCTTTTTCGATTCCTGACTAAGCAGAAGATTTTCCCGCAGTAGGTTGCTGTTTCTTTCTGCGGTAAACTGGTTGTCAACCAAGGCTATATGGCCTAGTCTGTCTTGTTATTCAACCCATATCTGTGGGAGAAAAGATGTATTCACACCATTCCCAAAGGGTATTTGCGCGTACGTGAATGCATTTGTAATGTATCCGACTGGAATTCGAACCCGGCTCAACGATTGTTACACTACAATGCAGATTCATTACGTAAGATACCGGCTTTATTTATTTATTTATATATTTATATATATATATATATATATATATATATATATATATATATATATATATATATATATATATATATATATATATATATATCAGAAACGATATTGGTTTGAAAATTCATTTTGCCATGCATATTTTTGCTAAGAAACAAATTTTATGAAAAAAAATCAATTAAGGAAATTAAATGATTTAAATTTTTCTTTCGTGACGACTCGTTTGCGGTTAACTTTGGCATCATTCTAGCAATTGGATAGTACTACTGAAATTTTTTGGAACAGCTTCCTCTAACTACTGCGCGGATCTTCCAAGTTCTCGGCCTGAACGAGATTTAAGAGTTGCTGAGCGCCAAATCAAGATGGTACATCTATATAAAAATTGTAAAAGCATTAAATTTGTTCTTTCAGTTGTTCTTTTCAAAAGAATATAATGAGTAAAAATGCCTTGCGTTTTAACAGTCGCGTAAATAAAAGCAAATGGTGACAGCTATTTTTACGCACCATAAATTTACTTTCTAGCTGACACAAACTTGGTTTTTTTTTAATAAACATTACGCAGCCCTGTGTAATGTCAGATTGGCAGAAGTAAGATATTCTAAACACAGCTAATCCCAGCTTGTTCGACATATTTAGGGAAACATTTAAATAAAATAGGTATTAATTTACAATAAATATCTCAATAAAAATAAAACCAAATACAGAATTGATTGATTTGTTTTTTACGGTTTATCACTCTTTTGCAAGTTATTTAAAAGCCAGAAAATATTTTTATATTGTAAGAATTTTTTAGGCAGTAAAGGTCAATCCTAGCTTGTTCGACCTTGTGGCAGACGTCATTTTTTAACCAGACTGTCCTTATCCGACAGATGCAACGTAGCTACTTCCATACAAGTTCAACTAATTAACCAATAGCTGGAGGAGAAGAGCTTTCCCAGAGCTATTTGTGGTTAAGAAAATATAGCAAACTCAAAGTGAAATTGGAACTCGACTCTTCGATTTCCAATTGCCATAAGTCAAATACCAAAATGAAAATTAAACGTAATATAGAAAGAACACCGACAATCTTGTAATTTCGATAAATCTTTCTGTTATGCTTTATATTTATAAGAGTCAGATCGAACAAAAAATGGTAAATTGCTGACCATTCTGGTCTGGAGATGCCTAAATCTCACTTTCCAGCCTTGGCAGAGTTCAAAATCGGTTACTCGACCTTGTGGTAGACGACGTTTTTCACCAGACAGTCATTATCTGACAGATGTTCAGACGATTTACACTACATCTTTATTATTCACAACGTTTCGACTGTTGTACGCTCCCACCTTCTTCAGATGATATACGTTGGATTTCGAACTGAAACCTTTATTTAGACCACGGGTTTAGATTTTTCTAAATTCCACATGTCATTCCTTTTTGGATATTTCCCTTTCGTAATTCAAACCTCCAAATTTTTGTTCCCGATGCTGTGAAAATTATTGCTATTGAATTCACAACACTTTGGGTCAAGTAATTTTTGGATTAATCAACCAACGCTTTACCCACTGGGCTATGTGAAACGTCGTGAATATGATAATAAAGGTGAGGATAACAGTCTGAATGATGTAAATAGTGTAAATGGTTACAATACCACATTTCAGATATACAGATAGACTACGTGCCACCAGCTCAGACCCTCGCATTGCGACGCCCTCGGAAATGAATCACCCTCATTCCCGACGTATTCTTTTGATAAGAGGAACTTTCCACTCAGAAATCGCTACTTTGCGGAAGAGACTTGCTCTCCCAACACTACAATCTTAACTTCTTCATGTCTAGAGTCAATCATTATCTATCCTCCATATAAAGGGTGTTTCCTTAAGACGGATCAAAGTCAGCAGTAAATAAATCAGTGTTATTGGTGAAAATTTATTTATTTCTCTATTGTATAATGTTATTTAAGTCATGTCAATTATGTGTGAAAAATAATATCGGTCAAATGTCCGCCAAGGCTTCAGCAGCACGCCTCCACTCGATGGTCAAAATTTTTGATGACGTCTCTGCATAGTTGCTCCTCGACCTCACCAATATGCCTTATTATCTCATCCTTCAGCTGTTGAATTGTTGTTGGCTTGTTGGCATAGACCTTAATTTTGAGAAGACCTCAAAGGAAGAAATCTAAAGGCGTCAAGTCGCACGATCGTGGTGGCCAATTGATTTCGCTGTTTCGAAATATGATGCGACCTGGAAACTTCTCGTTGCATTTCTGTTTGAACGTCAATTTTCGTAATAGGCTTCGATAACTTTAACACGTTGTTTGATTGTTAATCTTTCCATGGTTGAAACTGCGAGAAAATTAAGTTGTTAAATTCGAAAAAAAATGAAAAACCCATTAGATGCTTACACTTAATTCACATTTAAAATCGGTCTAAGTTATTGGAACACCCTTTACTTGTAATCTTCATTTCCTGATTCCTCTTCCTCTTACGTTTATATAACACGATCTCTTTCAGTAAACGTTGGGCTTGAATGGCTCTTGGGGCTTATATTCGGTGGATTATAGTAAAACAAAAAGCTAAATTTTTAAGAATTTCATATATTATTGCAATGATTACGTGATAAGCTTATGTGCGCGCATGTGCGTACACATGCGCTTTGATAAGAAGTTTGGCTTTCTTCTCAAATGCGTTCGTGGTCGTTTACCGAACTCACGTCAGAAACCAGAAACTTTATAACACTTACCCACGAGGAAGACTGACATAACACAATGTTATCTTTTTCACATAATGACCTTGTGCTATACTTACCAAGGCTTTGTAAACATCTACTTTTAATATGCTATCTGTCAATCATTAATAGTGTGTATATATATATATATATATATATATATATATATATAGATATATAGATATATAAAACGGTGGATGAAAAAACCTGGGTAGCACAATTTTTAAATAAATTGGCATCCGAAATGGGAACAAAAGAAAGCACCAGAAACCTCCGAACAGGACGATAAAAATTGTCCAGTACCTTAAATCTCTGGTAGAAAGAAAGAAAAAACCAGCGAGTAATAAGTTAAAATGAAGATTGCTCAATACACTAAGTAAAGCAAAAGTAAAATAAATAAATCCTAATGAGCCAGATACTACCTACCTAGGTTTCAACACATGGGATCATATATATATATATATATGTGTGTGTGTGTGTGTGTGTGTGTGTGTGTGTGTGTGTGTGTTGTATAATGGATAACGGCTCGGAAGGAAAAATCGGAGAGCCGAGTTCGAATTCCTGTTGAGTTCGTTACATTCATTTACTCTCAAATACCATTGTGAAAGGTAGGCACCCATCTCTTCTCTCTCCAACGAAGATTTAAATAGATAAGGCAGGCTGGGTTTTCTAGCCGTGAGTCTAAGAAATACAATTCTATATTCAAAAACGGTACGCGGCCCTGACTTTGCGATACAGATACATTAAGCAAGCCTCGCCATTATGTTTGTTTGTTTGTGTGTGGCTGGGGTAGTTAAACTTCAGAATCCCAAACCACTAAATGTGACAAATAACAGAAGCCCTCCCCCACCCAACAGTACTGGAAAGAGCAATAACAATTAGTGGAATTAATGA